TTTTGCAATTGGTTGTTCTTTCTCAATTAACTTTAGCAAGTGCTTTTTCTCTGACCGCACAGCCTGAAGAGTTTCTTGTGTTGTCAAAAATGATCGTCTTTGTTGTACCAAGGATGATAATGTTCCAGGTTTAGCATATGTCCTTTTTTTGGTAACTTTGTTTCTTCTTGAAGGTCCTTCTTGACTCATGACTATCAAAATCTGTGTAAATATAAGATTGCACAAGTTAGAAATATTGAAGAAAAAATAAATCACTGAATCTAAACACAATCTTTTTAAATTCTCATAGCTCCTTTGATTTTTCTTTTGGGGCAGATTGACTGCAGCTTTGGCAGACGTGGGGCAGACGCATAAATACAGACATACATATAATGGGACATCACACGGTGTACCATGGGGCACATAAATATCATTAATGATGTAGATGTTTTTCACGCAAATAAAGAAACTAGTTTTCAAAAAATAACACCTAAATAATTCACCCTCTCATTACTGTTTTCGAAATCTAAATAAGATCTCTTAGAAGCTCCCAAATACGCCTAACTTATTCCGCAGAATAAACTTCAAGCCCTAAGTCCATCACTTCAGAAATTAAGTTCTTCCTTGCAACAGATTCACAACATATCAAGAAACTATATAGTTCATTGAAAAATAATTAATAAAAAGAAAAAACAAATTAAAGATATAGCATATCTCACATGTAATTCTACCACCTTTTCACATGTTAAGAAATAATTCAAAGACACGAAAATAAGAATAACCATAAGATAGACTTTCAGACAAAAACATAGCAAATCTCACATGTAAATCTACCACTTTTTCACATGTAATGAGATAATTGAAAGACATTGAACATAAGGATAACCATTACATACGAAAGGTTTTGACGCTTGGTTGATTATAGTTTCTCATCTTATTATCTAATTCATTGAGCATCCTCATGTGTCAACATGTTATTCTGCCTTCTTGACATACCAATACATATTGTATATGTAGTTATGTACTGATTTCCAATGATTTGGAATGCTTCGTTTTCATGAATACAAGTTCAAGTATACAAGTTAGCAAACTTTTGTAGTAGGCTCTTGTTGCATACCAAGAAAAGTATCAATGATCTGTATATTTTTACCTGGAGATAATAGGTGTCTAGTATTATCAGATGTATTTATAGATATAGTTAGACTCTTAAAGATTCCATTAGATGCTTTATAGACATTGTAAATCTGCCGCCTACGATTATAGTTTCATCCATCCATCATGTCACATCTAACCTGGGTGAGGAAGACTATGCTCTGTATGAACAAATGAACTATATACATATATACTAAACCATATGGCCTAACTCTATAAGAAAAACATGTTACAGATACAATTAGCTAGTTTAATACATAATTGTAGATACACAAAGGGATACTAAGCCTGAATCATATGTATAACATAACTTAGTGATATCTAAATACTAAGAGACATATATGACTTAAATGCCCACACTAGTCTATATGACTTAAATGCCCACAGTAGTCTATGAAGACATTACTAGAAACTAATAACAGAATACTTATCAAGATAGGTCCATAACCTATATATACTGCACATATACATCAAAGAGTATCTACACTCAACTTGCCTCTAGATTGAAATAGGTCCATAACTTAAGTGTTTACGCAGATACCTAGTGAGGTGGTCAGCTGACTAACCTGTATGCCCTCAACCTACAGTATTAAATGTAATACATGTAACAAAATGAAGCTTAAAAAAAACCTTACAAACTGAAATTTCCAGTATTGAAACAGTTTGAAGATCCAGCCTCTCAAAAAATAAGAACAACATAGTTTACTCAATAACCTTTACCAAACTTGAGATGTAAACTTCAATACACAAATAGATTAAACTAAATAGGTAAAATAGAATAAAAATACATCTATTTCATAGAAATTTATGGTAAAATAGAATAAAAATACATCTATTTCATATAAATTTACTTGTTTATTACAAAAACCCTTCAATGGAATATCCAATTTTACAGAGCAAAAACCTTTTCAACAACTTTTCAGAGGAAGTTATGAAAATCATACCTTTTTGTGAAGATGTTGGAGATGAACCCACAAATCACTTGTTGAAGTTGTCAGAGATGAGGCTCTAGTCGGAGATGACCCACTTGTTGGAGACGACCCACTCGTCGTGGTGGTGATAGTCGTTCTTTTACTAGAGACGACCTAAGATGTGTGTTAAAGATTTGATGCAACCCACAAGTTCTAGAAATGTCCTTTTAAAATTATTAGAATTTAGAATTACTTTAAAAATAAAATATAATAAAAATCGCGGGATTATAAAATCAGTGGAGGGAAAATATATTTGGGCCAAAACCGTATCAATAGTACTTTTTTTAATAAGAACCGTTCCTAAAGAATTTCCTATTGCAACGGTTTTCGTAATCGTTGCAAAAAGTACCTTTGTAGCTACGGTTATGCACTAATGCAACGATTTATTTTAACAAGTGTTGTAGTAGGTCCAAGGATCTACGGCAACGGTTATAACTGTTGCAAATTCTTAGTTATAGTAACAGTTACTAAACCGTTGCAAAATCACTGTTGCCGTAGGACATATTTCTAGTACTGATTCCTAGATTCTTTTGTTATAGTCTTTCTGACACGACCCAGGGGTACCCTCTAGATGTAACATGGCATATAGAACCCTGAATGACTTCATACAAGCCACTTAGTTCTCATAACATAAGCAATAGAATAATAAGAGTTAAAACACAAGTCAAAGTCTAAAATTTTCATAAACGAAAGTGGAAGTCAAGACACTTATTCTCAATATAGCCATCTATTACAATCCTTGAATGAAATAGGGCCTAGCTGATACAACATGTCCAAAAGGGAAATACAATAAATGAACTACAATGAGATAACATCCGTCCTTGAATCATGAGGACTCAACAACAAGCTAGGAGAATAAGCAAATCCAATCTTTAGCCACTAGAATAATCACCTCGATAATCGGACCCTACACTTGGGCAAAATGTAGGAAAAGTAAGCATTAGTACAAAAGTGTGCTACGTATAATAGCTATGCATAAAAACATTTAAAACATGCGAAAAGGGACATTTCATTTGAAAGCATGCAATTTACTAAGATTAAACATCATCATGAAGATAGTGGAAAAGCATAAGTCATAAGCATAGTCAATATATAGATCATCATAGCATAAGAGAGCCACTTCATATACACCCTCAAAGCCTACTTATGCAATGCATGGATAAAACCCCATAAGTCCCACCCATGCTTAGTAAACCTCATTAGGACATCATTCATGTTCATCATCTTTCAATGCAAGATAACAACATCTTTAAAGCTTTTGAACACTTACATGATACTTCTTCAAGCATGCCTTAGTTCATTATTAAACTTCTTGTTCATGTGGGGAATAAGCCTTAACCAACATGAAACCATTTGAGCTTTAACATGGAATCCAGTGACTCCCACGCCGAAAAAGGTTGGTCTACTTGCCTAAGGTAGAACCGGTAATTTTAACTTAGAGTGATCTAGTAGCTAATATCCTACGGGGGCACGTAGTTTATGGGATAAGGAGATTGTTACTAGAAACCCGGCCTTTCTAGGGGGGAACTTCCATCTCAAGAGGTTTCTTCTAGAAACCCGGCGTTACTGCGAGAGAGCTTCCACCTCACACAATATCCACTCGGTACTAAGCATTAATTCCCATGGAGTAGTTAATTCTTTAGTAACATCATTACTCATGAAAGAGACCCCTTGGCCTACCGATTCAAGGTACATCATTAGAATAGCTTTTTTAAGTTACTCATGAAAGGGTGCACTTGGCCTACCGATTAAAGGTACATCATTAACTCAACCCTTTAGAATTACTCTTGAAAGGGTTCCCTTGGCCTACCGATTTAAGTTAGATCATTAGGATAGCTTTTTAATTATTTATGAAAGGGTTCCATTGGCCTACCGATTCAAAGCACATCATTAATTAAACTCTTTAGACTATGCGTGAGCAATTATCGCCATCCATAATCTACTTTTAATGTCTCTTTTTATTCAATTAGGTGAGAAAAGTCTTTCAGCCTTAGAATCTTTATTAGATCAGGAAACCTTTTATATCATGCTCATTATGTTTTCATGAGAATAGACTTTCAATTAACACAACAACAATATCATAATCATTAACACTTCACTCTCAAAACTATACCATTCATAATCCAATACAATAGCCTTACTCTCAAGGCCCTAGAAACCAACATTCTTAACTACAAGATTTACTCTGAAGCAATACTTCTCATAAACATCTCATAGACCTAAGTCCCAAGGTAGTCTACCCACATGTTTCATTCTTAAACAATTCTAGTCGTATATCTTCATAAAACATACA